TTTCTTATTGGTTACCTTGAGGAGAAAGCCTTATAAGGAGATGGGGTCTTTCTTTTCCTTTTGTTACAGGTATGGACTATGTGTCATTAACGAACTTTATCTGAACCTTGTGGTTTGCACTTTTGACATAGGGACGTTGGCTAGAACATCTTGTGGATAGAGTCTGATGACATTTCCTTTAAGCAGACTTCTAACTGTCCCTTTTATGCCATGTCTTTATTCTTATATTTTTAATCCATATTTTATTCTATTTTAATACTTGTGTGATATGTATTAGATTTCTGTTTGCCATTTCTCTGGCCTTGTATGGAGCCAAAATACCATTCAGTATACTCTTACAACGTTGTTATTTTTGTTTAACAAGCACCCTGATGATATATTTAATAGGTTCTTCTCCCAATTACATATTTACAAGATTATTGTTTGATGCTTATAGAGCAGGAGTGTCAAATACACGGCGCATGAGCTGCATCCAGCCCGCAATATGCCCAGTGTTGTCCTGCAGGGCCATGCGTGTCGCCCCAGCTCCGCTTACCCAGTTGGCGGTGATGATCAGGCCATGCTCACCCCAGTCCCCCAAGGGCAAACAACATCCTGATATGGGATTGATCTTGACACCCCTGTTATAGAGGGTGTTTGACCATAATGGTGTTTATCCACTGACTTCTTGAAAGTTAGCTTGAAAACTCTCCCTCATAATGGGAATAAATTACTGTATCATCTAAACTGTTAGCACATACTGCTGTTATGAAATAAAACATAAAACCATGTTTGAAAATATCCAGTAAAACAAATATAAATGGAATATCCATGGAGAACAGAAGAATATTGCATTGTTCTTACGTCCTGTTTGGATTTAAAAGTACTGTTGATTTCTGTGTGAATAGGATAGTAAGAATAGGAAAAACGACTACATTCATAAAAATGCCCAAAATGTATTTCAATTGTTCTAGGGAAGAAAATGCAACACACAATCCATTTGTTGACTTTGAAAAGATTTTCTTTCATCCTTTGCAATTCAATCAATCATCAGAATAGAGCTGTAAGGGACCTTGGAGGTTTTTTAGTCCAACAGTTTTTATTCAGTTATGGTTGCCACGATGTAACAAAGACAATGAGACTTTCAAAAGAGTGCAGAGAAGAGCAACAAAGATGATTAGGCGACTGGAGGTTAAAACATATGAAGAACGCAGCCCTCAAGATCTGGCTCTCCCAGCAGGCCTGGGGATAGATTCCCAATATCCCCGCCCGAGTGTTTCATTGCTGAATGAAAGTTGTGTTTTTACTATTTTTTTTCTTTGTTCACANGCCCCCCCACCCCTGCGCGTGCTCAGCGGGCCACGGTAAAATTATCAAAGGCTGACTGGTCCGCGGCGATAAAAAGGTTGGGGACCACTGCGTTACACCATTAAAAAAAGCAAATGTCCCTTTTAATAAAAAAAGGTTGTATGGTACCAGACTTTTGCTGTGTTTATTGTTCACAGTAAAATTTAAACATTCTAAGTTTGAATGTCTTTACCCATGTCTCACCTCTGAATATATGTATCGTTAGTTAAATACCATAAGTCTAAAATATCTGAAAGGTAATTGCATTGCCTATCTCTGGATTGTGGGGGACTTTTGACAATAATTCTGCATTTGGCTTTAACTCTTCAACAAATTGGTATTTAGCAAGTGGTTTTAGTCTAATATATTCGAAAAGAAAAGCTTTATATCTACTCTTGGCTCCCTCCAAGCTGCTAACTACTTGTCTTGTCATGATGCATATGTTTCCATGTTTATTTGCTTGTGCAATTCAGCTGACAAATTATTTGCACAGAGAATTAAATAGATAATAGTTCCTTGACTCTTCTTGTTCAACTATAAAAAGGATCCTACTTTTCCAGGCTGCTGTAATATACAATCAGATCATATGACTAAATTATGCCAGAGATTGTGTCTTATGATATTGTTATCATATATCCTTTTGTTGACAGGATTAATAACAAGAGAGAATGAAAGTATTAAAAATGCTGAATGACTTTATTATTCTGGTCTATTTTTCCCTCAGGTACTTTATTACCCAGATTACCATCTGAACCCGGGATGACATTACTAACTATCAAAATAGAAAAAATTGGTCTTAAAGATGCTGGGCAGTGCATTGATCCCTATATCACAGTTAGTGTGAAAGGTAGGTATATTTTTCTTAATTGATTTGGCTAGCCATGTAATTTTGGTCCTTTTTATCCAAAATTAGCTAGAACTAAAGTGGCAAAATATTCCACTAAGTAATCAGGATTTAGAGTTTAAAATATTGACATTTTTTAAGGAGCCTCGGGTAAAAGTTGGATTTGTCCTAAGTCTACCATTTCTATTCATGAAATGTTTCTTTAGACTTGACACATGGTCAAGTCAAGTCTCTATTGTAAATACCAAATATTTTATCACTTTGGAAAGCTTGTGTCACCTTTCTCAGAGAATGTGCACTAGGAAGGCCAAATAGGCCATGTTACTTTACTATAATCACACCACAGTATTGTTTACTCATGATCACTACCATGTTTTTGGAAATGACATTCCTGTAAGGAATCTTGTGTAAAGATATTGCTTGAACTGTTTACAAAAAGAAACAATATTTTTCTTTTTAACACTTAGTCTGTTAGATCATGAATGTAATGACCCTGGGAAGTACTCCTTGTTCAATATACCAAATGTCACAACAGTTTTCCCCCTGTTTAATGCTTAAATTTTATTCTTGGGACAGATCTCAATGGGATAGATCTTACACCTGTACAGGACACCCCAGTTGCTTCAAGGAAAGAGGACACTTACATTCATTTTAATGTGGACATTGAAATTCAGAAACATGTTGAAAAATTAACAAAAGGTTTGTTGCATGAAGATTCAAAAATCATTTGAACTGCGATCAATAGGACAAAGCATAATTTAGATCAATAACTTGGAGAGAAGACAGTTGTGCTATATCCAGAAAAATGTGGTTATCCCATAGTGCCTTAACCAAACTATTCAAAACTTGTTAAAGATGTTATTTATGATTTGGGATGGGGGCAGATCAAAAGACAATGGCTTTGAAGTTCTTTAGTTGATTCTTTGCAAAGGTTCAGAATCTTCAGTGAGGATCATTTTTCTTCAAGGCAGTTCTAACAATATTGTATTAATTATGCTAGTCAATAAAGAAGTACAGTGATATAATTTGAAGAGTGCTTTAGATTTTTTTTTCCTCCTGCCTTTCAGGTGCAGCTATTTTCTTTGAATTTAAACACTATAAACCCAAGAAAAGGTTCACCAGCACAAAGTGCTTTGCTTTTATGGAGATGGATGAAATTAAAGCTGGACCAATTGTTATAGAACTGTAAGTAAGTGTGTGCATGAAACACAACAAACAATGCTTTCCAGAACATCTGATAAATTCTTTCAGATCAGTCATGGTTGGTCAGAAACAAAACTTGGAATGTTTTGGTAGTCCCAGGCTTTTTGGTGCAAATCAAATTAGAGGTGATTTTAATGGAGCAAATATGACAAAATTACTATGTGATCTTCTGTGACCATCAGTGGCACATGGGTCCATCCACCTGCCTCCTATTTTCTCAGTATCTTCTCTCTCCACTCCAGTTGCTGCTATCTACATGTCCCATTCCCAAGAAAATATCTTACATACTGTTGTACTTTCCCCAGAGCTTTATATTTCAAGCCATATTCAGAACAAAACATTTCTGTTTTATTCCATGTACAGCCAAACTTTAAGTTTTACTTGAGGTATGGACTGCCCAAAAACAAAAATTGCATGCATATCTCTAAATGTCAGTAAAATTTTGCATAAAGCAAGCATCCTTATTTGCTACTATACAAATGGTTATGGTTAAAAGTCAGGAAAGTAGTGCACTTCATTAACTTTCTTCCTGAATATGAAGAGAAATGCTAAGCTTCCATAATGCTTGATTTGTAAATTATGATGACTGAGCAATATCTTAGCTTTGAACCCAAATAAAAGTGTGCATGTTTAAAAACTCTAAAGAAGAGTCCTCCCCCCTTCAAAATGTAATATTCAGAATAGATATTCGATTATGTTTGTGATTCTGAAACCATTTTAACTGCTTTGGCTTAATTTGGAAGAAAACCGGTACACAGAAAAGTGAAAGAATGTTTATCTGAATAATTAGTATAGAACAAATTTTGAGACAGTTTTATACCAAACAAGTGCCACTGAATTTAAATGGGACAATAATTGTGGAGGTACAAATTAGGATTAAGAATTGTATTCTTTTTACCTAGCTTTTCAAATTATACAAAATCCTTTTAAGTAAGAAAAGAATCATCTGGGGTAGGTTCCTAAACAGCATTAAGATTAATTCNAGATCTCGCTGCTTTAGCAGAGTAAGGAAGATACTCAGAGATGATTCACACCCTGGTCAGTGTCTCTTTGCACGTCTACCATCGGGCAGAAGACATCAAAGAATAGCCAGTTGAACAAATAGGTTTAAAGACTATCCTTGGGCTGTCAGACTTTTAAATACAGCCACAATCACTCCATGCACATGCGGTAACATATGACTATTTTTCCCCTTTCTTTCTTTTTTCGTTTCCGCTATAATTTTGCACCAGTGAGGCTAAAAAACAATTTCGTTGTATTTATTTTGTACAATGACAATAAAGACTATACTATTTACTCACAACAAGATTGATTCTGGAGATGGAAGTTTCCCTCCTCAGACTGGGAAGATTGTGGTGATAAAACAGGATAGTTTCCTTGCCACTTCCAGGAAATCCGTGTTTCTCTGCTGTCCACCAAGGCAGTGTGATTGACGGAATTATGGGCTGGCATGACGTCACCGTTTATGCTAAAACTTCAGGTGAGTTGAGGTCAATGGGATGCGGGAAGAATGTGGCTGAATACAAGTGAAAGTCTACAGCTGCCTGAAGCCCTTCGGGGAAAGCCTTGCTGAGGGGGACCCCACTTCTGGAGATGGGGTTTTAAGCTGCATAAGGTACCAGCGGCCATTCCCCAGGCCTGCTGCGCCCCCGCTGTGGCCGCTTCTCTGCCAGGGTCCCCGGGAGGCCGGAAGGCAACCTCCACGCTCCTGCGCCGCCCGCTCCTTCTTCCGAGGCTCCGCCGCTCCGGGCACCAAAGGCTCCGCGCTGGTCAAATCGTGGCTTTCCAGGCAGCCGCCGCCGCCTCCGCCTCCACGCCGGGCAAGCGCACAGGAGGTCAGCCCAGCGGCCCCCGGGCCGTGGCAGGGGCGGAGCCTTCCTGCTCGGCGGGTGCGTGAGCGGCGGCTGTGGCGGCCAATGGGCACCCGCGGCCTTCCCGGGCAGCCTCTCGCACCGGGCCAATGGGAAAGGCGCGGCAGCCGGGCGGCAGCTGGCCCCGACGACGTCATGGCTGCGGCCACTTCTGCGGGAGCCCGAGCGCGGCGGCCCGTCCCGGCGCGGACTTCTCGGTATGGGCGGCGCGGCTCTCGGGCGGCTCCAGCTGTTGCTCCAGCTGCTCGCCGGGCTCAGCCTGCGCCC